TCCTTCCTGTCGATGTATTTTCAAAAGCGAATACATCCTGCATTTGAAATATTTTTCCATTTCTCTTTCGCGAAAGGGAGAGAGAGAGAGAGAAATATGAAATATATCTCCAAGTGAGATAAATTCTTATGGAGAAAAAAATATAATTCCTATAAAAAAAAAAAAAATCTCATAGCAACGAGGCCTCTTTCACGACTCGGCGGTCTCCGGACTTGGTCTTTCGCCACTAAATGTTTCCGTGTCGAATTATACCCGACATGATTGCTCGATAAATCCCGCACCTTGAACAAGACTTAATTTCACAATAGACGACCCACGCGCACTCATTTCTCGGAGCCGCGTGGTATCGACATTCTTCGCGATGTCGTGCTCGGAGCCCCGCGATTCCCTCTCTTTCCCCTCCCCTCTTTCCCCCTGCCCTCCCTCTCCTCTGCTCGCCGCACAGTACCGTGATCCCGAACCTTGACTCTTCATTAATCACCTCGTGGTATCAATGACTGACTGAGTGACTGACGGCAGGCGAGAGGTATTATATACCTACGGTGTTCGCGCGAATGCTGATGCTCGTCGTGGGGATCTTTCTCGTCTTTGATAGACTGACGAGAGAGGCTTGTCTGAAAACTTTCTTGCACTTTCTCCTTTCCATTTTACATTGAGCTTAATAGCTTATTCAAGAAAATTGCGTTTCCTTGTAAGTCTCATCGTGTCGACTCTCGATGCGAAACAATATTTATCCTGTTATGTGCGTTGATCGAGTAAACAATTGGATTGTTGATCGCGATTAATCGCGATAAACGCGAAATTGGCCGCTATACGCGATGAAACATGCGGATAAATATAGCGAGCGAATCAATTATCGCGATGCCGAGGCACGTATTCGAACTCGCCTGGTTCAATCTAGACTTCCATTTTCCGAAGAGCAGAAAGGTTCAATTTAATCGTGACCTTACGGGTAGACTGGCGCCACGTTTACTCTTCATTTATACGGTACTCCGTTACGGACTATACATCCAAAGTCACGGTTACCTTCCCGCAATCCTTGACAAAGGTGCACGAGTCTACGAGCCAATCGAATACGCGGCGTCATCGTCGGTAGCTTAGTACGATCTTAGTCGTTCGAGTAAGTCCTGTGACGGATCATGACTTGCGTTAAGTCCTGTCTTCTCTTGTTTTCTTGTTACACGACTCCTGTCTGCTTCGGTAGTTTTCGAGGGTGTGACTCTGCTTTATCACACACACACGACCCTCTGCTGCCGATACGCGATCTTTATCGGCGCCTTCAGATTGAATAAAATGTCAACTGACCATGGCTGAGCGTACAGTCTACGAATATAAGTTCACGTCACGCTTAAAATCTTTGCCCGCGACGTTAATTAATTTACGTAATAAATATGAGATGTTAATATACGATATGATAAATATGTAGATATTATTTATTATTTATAAGTAAATATTATTAATGTACGTAATAAATGTAAAGTCAAAATTTGCAAACTTTAAACGGTTACATTTAATTTAAATATCATTCGATATCGATTTGCATTTTTGTTATTATTGAAATTTTATTAAAAATTTAATTAAGAGCTAAATTTAATTAATCTAAATTAAGCTAAATTTTTCGAAAACTTACGTAATAATGTCAAGACAAAGTAGAAGCTTATGTTAAAAAGTACTTACGATACATAACGTAATATTGCTCTTCATTAGTAGTAGATTGTTCTTCGTGGTTGCATTAATTTCGAGACCTTCAATACTTAGATTCTCTTCAATGTTTAATGATTGACTGAATAAAATTTCTTCTCACGCTTATGTTAATACGACTCCACCTCCAGGGGATCTGACCTCGCATCAATTAGACGTTATAAACAAATAATGTGTCGATTAATCTACCATAGACGTACGAGCATATATCGATCAAGCATTGCGTCAAATTACAAAAAGAAAGAGTGCTTTGGAAAGTTTATTCTTCTCTTTTAAATATCGTTACCATGGAACAATTTTAAACCAATTAAAAAGAGATAAATATACTACTAACACTTTGCCGCTTTCTTTCTAATTTTAAACGCTCAATTAAAATTATTTTATTTGGTGAATCTTTCAATATTGAAAAGACGCACATAAATAGTTTTCTCAAGAAAATAAGTTCGCTTAAATAGAGCATATTATTTCGTATTTATCCTCGGGACGAAATAAAATCTCGTATAGATCTGTTAGAGGACAATACAAATGTAAACACTGTTTACATTCCGCGTTGGCGCGACCGTGAACGCTGGAGTGGGAGTTGTTACGTATGTACTTTTTTGTAGAAAGCTTACTCAGTCAATTTCTAACCTTTGATAGAAGAGAATCTACATGACGATCGAAATTAAAGTGCCAAAGAGAATCTGCCTCGGAGAGTAACATGTGCAAATGTTACGAGAGAGCATCTTCTAACACAGGTACGCCTAATGATCCGTATTGGTTTTAATATTATTAGACCTTTCTAAGAAAAGAACGCGTCAAATTTTATTCCGTTAAATAAGAGAGAAGTTCAACTATATATAAATTTATCGAAACAATATACGTTAATTAAAATAATGAAATGTATTGTATTAGTAAACTATCTCGGCCAGAGATAACCTCGACTTGCCATCGCGCAACCTTTTAACGTTATCGTGTTTTATGTTTGAGCAATACATTTCAGTATAAAGTACGCGCGTCAAAAATTATCATATCGACAATTATAAATACAATAATTATCGCGCCGTTTGCTTCTCATGCGCGATGCTTTCTCCTCGTTATAGCCATTAATGTAATTAAAATTTTATTTAATGAAAAAGATTTCTTTCGTATATCGTATATCGACCAATATTTCCCTAGTATCTCGTAGGTTTCAGAAAGAAATAAGCATCGATGATATTTCTGTACGTCATACCATTTAATAATTACAATTTAAATTATATAATTAGACGACCTTACACGTAGGGTGCTCTAGGTTACGTAGATGTAATAAGTAAGTATTTTTTTTTAGTTAGACTATTACGTATATTACATGGAATGAAATAACATTTGAGTGACGCTACGCGAACGTAATACTTGAGCTTAATTTATATAACTTGGATAGAACGCATTCTTTGCACCTGACGAATAAATAGTAAATATCTGCAGTTTTTCGTCTCTCACGCCATCCAATTCGACTCCGCGAGTCGAGATAGCACGACTACGTATCCCACGCGATGGATCTCGTGTAAAAAAGTGATGCAAATCTTGCATTATTTGTGCACATCATTCATAGGTACGGAACGTGTTGTACGACACGCGGCGTAAACAACAAAAAAAAATAATAATAATAACGAAACAAATAAAATACAATATTAACACTGTATACTAAGTCATTAGCAACAGATTCACTCTCAATACAATAATAAAGATAATATCAAGAATTTCAATAATAATGATAATAATAATAATAATATAATAATAATAATAATCCTCACTATGCTTTATTTAAATATTCATATAGTGTACAAGACGATAACGAAAAAAAATATCATGTTGCACCTGGCAGCATTTTTTCTCGTAGAAAACAAATATTCTCTTTCGTATATTTATTTTTTATAGAATTCATTGTAAAATCACAGAGAATTAAATTCAATTTCAGGATGATTTGCCGTTTTTGATTAATTTTACGCAAAGTGTTATCTCTGATAATGAGTAGAGTTTTGTATTTATCTCGATTTAATCCATAGCTCGGCATAATTTATATAATGACAAATAAAAGGAGGAAAAATTTTCTTTCGTTAACGTCTCGTACAGTAATATAACGTCATTCGATATCCTGTGTGTTGTTATATATATTCAATAATTATGTACACAATTCAAATACTAGCCTAGTTAGAAGGTCTCTTCTTTATTTGTTTCTTCTCTCTCTCTCTCTCTCTTTCTCTCTCTCTCTCTCTCCCTCTCCTCCTCTCTCGCTTGTATCGCTTAGAATCTCGACATACTAAATTCCCTGTATTCTTCCGAATTTGCATCGCGTGTAAACGCGGTTTTATGACAATTCAATAAGCATTATAGAGCGGCTGTTTTCAACATTATTTTTTTTCTTTCTGTCGTATCACAAGATAATCAATTACTCGAATACTAGCTAATTAATTTACACACTTTTGCGCTCGCTTCCCGGATTAATTATTAATATTCGGTCTTTCTTATCGGATCCTTCGTGAGCGATCCGTGTAGAATAATACATTTCCTCCGTCACACATCCGATCACGCACCTGTACCGATAAATACGCGTAATCAGGCGGGCACGTGCATGCACAATTTGCGTTAGATATACATGCGCATACATTGCACCATCGAAAAGTCAGACACACACACTCGCAACGCACACATCCGGGGTCATTTATCCCTTTATGCGCGAAACATCCCTCTTTTATTTAATAGTTCGGATTTCAACTAGGTTATAGAAACTAATTATGTTTCTATATGGATTAAAGTCGCTATAGTTGACGCGCGAGAAACAATAGTGATTGATTTGTTGTTGTCGTCAATCGGGATAAAATGCTCGATGCGGTGGAATAAAAATGAATATTAGATTCTACGCGAGATTCCCCTATTATATCGACAATATAGGAACAACGTGGCTGCTCCAGGGAGACATTGGTTAGATTATGCTGCAAATTATGTACAAAGAGATGCTGGGCCATAGCTGTCCACCGTTTCATTAATAAAATAATATTGTAAGATTGAAAAAAACGAATATTATATATATGAGCGAAATTCAATTTCAAAAATAAATTTTGCGCGATTTGAAACACGCTAATAGTCTATTCTTTTCATAATTTCTAATGTATAATAATTATATAAATCAATCGATGTAAAAGAGATATATCAATATCTATGTAATATATTTATAATATATTTTATATAATTATATAATTATTTTATATAATTATATAATTATTATTAATTTATATAATTATATATTAATATATTTTATATCAATTGATGTAGAAAATATTAGAAATCGAAATGTCAGATGTACCGGATGTTCTTGTTGATTCTGCAGTTATTTTAACGCCGCAATAATATTGTATTAATTTAATTATGTATAAGTTATGCTGCATAAAAATCCCATTATTATCTTAAAATGCAGATAGTCCACGAGTTTTAAAGCATATATATTTCTCATTTTTTTTACATTTATTTCATAAAACCAGCATAATTTATACATTGTAGATTTTTAAAAGTTATCTTTCCTTTCGAGACGAAAAATAATTTGAATATCAACAGAGACGTCTCTTACAAACCATTACATGAAGATTTTAGCGTAGATTATGTTTTCTATTTCGAGTCTTTTGCGAAGCATTTTTCCAGGGACGAAAGGGATCAAACACAAGAGAGAATAATGTGTGAAAAAAAAAAGAAAATAAATAAATATATTTCATCAGTAATAATTATTAATCTTAGGTGAAACAGTGCGCAGCCAGATAAGACAAGATAATTAATTAATTAATTCATTATTTGATTAATTAATTACTTAGACGCTAATTTCTACATCTTAAACTAGAGGATTCGGTCTTATCTCACCCGCTGAGACGGTCTCTCATCCGCGTTAGTATGAATATTTTTATAATCTCGTGTGCGTGAAGAGAGAGCCCCTCGGAGCGCGTCCAGTCTATTAACTCGGGTTAACACGGCGCTACGTATGCAGAAAATTTTGGCTTCCCTTCAACTTCGAATAGTCGTACGGTACTTGGCGTGTCCGCATAGGCCGAAGGTGAGCGAGGATGGAATTGCTTTTCGTCAGCCTGAGAAGGAAAGCATTCTCTCCTCTCCCGAGGCTCAGTTTCCCCCGTCTTATACACGTAGGCTGACGACGAATCAGCACACGAATCAACATTATTAAGCGCGAAATAATTTAAGTACGTTATTAACATATACGGAGGGAGGAAGGATCGCGTCTCCTCTCGCGTTGTTGCGCAACAATCCATCTACAACCGACCATCGGCGCATTGCGGAATCGGCGGAACGCACCACGTGTCCTACTGGAAGCGAAGGCCCCTCGAAGGTCTGCCGGGGGGTTCGGGCCCCCGTTGACAGGCTTGGCGCAGGGGTCCGACAAGGCGGAAAAAGCCCTTAGAAGTTCTGCTCGCCGTACATCCCGGGAAACCGGACAGCGTGTGCTCCGAGCTCGGCGGGCGAGAACTCGTCCTATGTGGCCAAGTGAGCGAACTGGCCGGGGTGGGGCGCGAACTGGTAAGGGTGCCCGTACGGCGACATGTGGTACGGCACGATGTTCATACTCGCCATCTTGTGCTCCTTCTTCCATTTCATACGCCGATTCTGGAACCAGATTTTAATCTGACGTTCCGTGAGGCAGAGGGCATGCGCGATCTCGATGCGACGCCGCCTCGTCAGATAGCGATTGAAGTGGAACTCTTTCTCCAGCTCCAGGGTCTGGTACCTGGTGTACGAGGTCCTTTGCCGCTTCGTCTCGCCGTTCGCGTTCACCGTGCCTGAAAAAACATCATTCCGTTATTTTGCGAAATGCGATACAAATGTAAACTTTGTAGCTGGGATTTGTGAGAGGTCCAAGTTGGCGACAACAGAGAATCGTTATTTATTATCCTCGCACGTCTCGAAGTACCGGTATTATAATAACATTTGTACAAAATTAATTTACACAGGTATAAAGTGAAACGTTTGAAAAATATCGTCGTTTTATTTTTCAAACGAAGATTTGATCACGAGCGTCGAGTGGAAAAGCGCGAGGGTTGAATAAAAAGCATAAAGACGATACATATTACCAAGGGGCCCAAGCGTGCAATGCGTGACGACCTCGTTAATTATTTCAACGAGTCTCGTGGTTAATGCCTTCGCCAGTGCCGCTGGATCGCGAACTGGTCACTTGGCAGCTGTTTTACCTATTTGCTTTGCACGCCTCGGCCATAAATAATTTTGCAACGCTATTATTACGATACTCCGCCTCTATTACACGGATATTTCCTTCGCAAAAACTGCCAACGCGACTGCCGAACAACGTTAGAAATGACCCTCGGCTCAGCCTCGATTCATTCGCAGTGTGACATAAAATGTCGCGTAAATCAAATGCAATTTGATATAATGCACCTCTAGTCCATTCTTTTTTTAAGTCTGAGATGAAAATTAGCAATTTGTCGCGTAAAAAAAAAATGTAATACCACATTCACCATCTCCTAAGATTAGCAAGATGATAGATGTTTATGATTCGCATAATGTATCGAAGATCAAATATTTTACGATCGAATTTGATGAAGCAGATGACTCTTTATCGCTTCTGCGATTGCTTGCTCTATAAAATATTCGTGAAGCTTGCTTTTTTATAACGTTTACATCATTATATTTCGGAAATCAATAATACCAGTAATTTCTACTCTCTTTCCCCCCGCTTTTTCCCAGAAGTACATAGAGGTTTCGGTTCGATGCTTCTGCAGGTGCTACGCATGCAAAGGTGCCACTTATTCGTTTTCAGTTCATTGTAAACACAGGGTCATTGCGGATATTAAAGAACCGGTTCATTTGCAGCTTTAATAAATGGCTATTAATAGCGCGGGACGAGGGGGAGAGGTCGATGAGTCGTACAGATAAAGATGCAGTCAAGTAGGAAGTGCGCGAACGACAATAATCGCGCAAATTGCGTCGTTTGAGTGAACTTTTGTTGATTTATACTTCCACATATAAAAAAAACCGACGATAAAATATACAGCTGATCGTAAGCTTGTTTGTCGCGAATAAATAATATTGCCGGCCACAGTTTCTCGGAAAAGCTTTTGGCGTCTGCGATTATAGCCGATATTCCGAGCGTGACATTCATAACGGCACGTTTAAAGATCCGTTCCACGGCTTTGAGCAACTTTGGCTGAGCACTTCCACGAGAGTGAAAAGCGCTTTCGCAGAGGACGGTAACCAACGAACGGTTGAACAGCGAAGCTCCTACCTACGGGCTTAATGACAGGACCCTTCGTCCGGTGTTATCGCTTTCCTCCCGATATAACACGTCGCCGGGTCGTGCGGCCTGACTTTTTAATAAATAGTGTTCTGCTTGTCTGGACACGCGGACTCGTTCGGTCTGCATATCGTTTATCCAGTGCATCTACCCGTTTTGTAACAAACGGAGTTCTCTTTTCGCCCACTTATTATTGTACGATACTTTTATTCGATAAAAGTATCTTGAAAATAACGCGAGAGTTGTCAAATCTTTTTGACTTTTTCAACTTTGATTTTTCGTTATTGTATCCAATTTTATCAAACATTTTAGTTTTTATTAATTATTATCGAGTTTTGTTCGTCGATGTAAGGAAATAATCTCTTGTATTTTCTCTTTTCTCTCTATCATATAAAATTATTATAACTAAAAAGTATTAATAAGAATAGATGTTTCTTTGACAACTCATCCTCGCGTCTTTTCTGATAATAAATTGCTATTCTTGTATCTCGTCGATACGCGTTGCTAGAGGAATGTACTCGGCCAAGACTCGGTGAGAAAGTTCCCGACCATCATACGCGATTAAAGTATGTTTTCTTAAGACGCATCATGTTAATTCTTTCAACTAATAAACCACAAGAGAGATCTCGATACATTCCGCAACGCTTCGCGCCGAGATGTCTATAACAGGTTGGGAGATTTTTTTTATCATTCCCGCAGAAACTCGCGCACAGCGGCAATAATCTCGGAGCGATGCGATTACGTGTATGTTAAATCGCTGAATATTATTTTATATTCGAGACGCTTGTAATTTATTGCTTTTTTTAATGGCTATGCCTTTTAATGCATTAAAGTACCGCGGTAATCGCTGACCCGATTAAATTTCACGCGTGTCAGGCGCACCTGTTTAATTAGCATTTAGATTCTATCTGGCGCGATCTTAGTAGTTATTCTCGCACTATAAATTCTAAGGCATCGAGGGGAGTAGGAGCCAATATGTTATTGTAACGTGAATTTCCGTAATCATACGCATGACTTGCGTTATATATCTCTTGGTAATAAATTTTGTAATCACATTGAATCTTAAGCGGATGCAATGAGAGCACTTCGTGCGTTCCCTTTCATAAGGATGCGGAAGATTCTCCTCTTTACACTCTTTTCTTTCTTGCGAGTTTTCATTCTTTTCAAAAAGTAATGAAAAATATATTTTAACATCGCAAATATATCACACACAATCAGATGGAGGTAAGCGATTAATTATATGAAGCCAATGGAACGATATATTATTTATTTATTTCACAATCCCGTGAGATTACATCGTTATCGACTATCAACCGCCTTGTAAGTCAATAAATCAAGATATTACTTGCTAAATAATATTATTGCATTCATTACGTGAATGATTACGGAGAAAACCAATGAAAAAGGAATTATTAAGTCATTAATTATTAAGTCTTAGATATTCAGAATTACATGATAAATTAAGAGAATATACAAAACAGATTTGCTAATAATTATTTAACGTCTAAATTCAAATAATATTAAATGCCGCTATATTGGAGTAAAATGTGTGCAAAATTGGAGCAAAATATGTGCAAAATTGGAGTAAAATATGCGCAAAATTCGCTATACAAATTTCGGCCCGAGACTTCCGACGTTTTAGAGAAGGAATAAAAATTGAAATAAAAATACTCTATCGCGCAATAAGAGATGCGCGAGCGAGGAGGCCCAGGGTTCGCATAGTCGTCGTCGTTGTAAGACTGAGGCGGGCTAAGCGCAAGGCCATGTCGTGTCACCCATCTCGATGTCACCTCGTGTCGTCTAGCCTTTTCGTGCCTCGCTCTTAATAGAACGCGGAGCGCGCATGTATTTGCACCGAACCCTGTACGAAACGTGTCACCGACTGCCAGGCTGACGACTGTCCCCGTCTGCCTGACTGACAGATCGGCTGGTTAAGTCTGAGTAACACGTGACTGGGATAATACCGTGCGACTCCATGGCGCGTTCACGGTATGCGTCTGATTTTGACCTTCTCGGTTTTTAATACACCTCCTCTCTCTCTTTGTCACGTTGACCTTTTCCATCAAATGTGCAAGTTTTATTTATTATATGCGAGATGCTTCTCATTTTTCAAAAGCTCTCCAAGAGCTCTCTACGCGGTGAGAGAAATGTCACGCACAGCAGAATTTTTTTCCACCGGAAAAATATTCTTTAGGACGTATATTTAGAAGTTTAGAAAATTGCACGTATGTTGAGTTACATTTTGAAAAAAAAACTATCTTTATTAATATAAATTTAGAGTAAATTTCTTTTTATAGTGGATTTTGTTAGAAGTGGATCATGTATAAATTTAATATTTTATTATTACTGAAGAACCCATACGTAAAGACAATGTTTTTTAAATAACTATTAGTCATTATAAGTGATACATATATCGCGTGTAAAAGCAATTCCGTGTAGTCTACGTAAATATTTTATGCAATACATTTGATAAGAGAATTAGTATATTTCATACACGTAATTTATAGAAAAATAATCGCTATTTTTATCATCCGTTTGCTTATCTATAAAGTGATGCGTAGGTGTTTAATACTGTACCAATGGTAAATCGAAGATATTATTCATCGTAGTGTATTATTCGCGGTAGATTATAGATTAGGTGTTGAGAAAAGAATTAAAGTAATCTCTTATGATCATAACTGTAATGTATTGCATTCCGTCAGTGTGAGTGAGTGTGCTACATGAGGACGGTGTCAATGTATGGGAGCGCATAAGCTCAGTATGTCGGGAGCAAGTTCTACACAAAAGTATATATAGAACTCTTACTATTCCCCCCTAATTCCCCGTACATATCTGAGTGGTTATCTGATACGAGCTCAAGAGTACGACCGTATCAATTCTTTCCATCGGCGCGATCAATTCAACAATTCCAAAGAAACCAATAAAGATTTGTAAGTTTCGCGACGTAATGAACAGCGGGAATCAATTTTTTTTCACGGTCCCAATGAATTCTCGCGATTAAAAAGTCCGATTTTATTAGTCGATATCTCAATCTGTCATTTTTACATCTTGAACAAAGCGTATCAAAAAAGAAAAACTCTTTAAAGAGATTTTCAAAAGACTACCCGCATTTTCAACTTGTTATAATTTTTTCAAAATCATATCTTTGATCAAAAGATTCATGATTCAAATTACGTGCAGTTTCCCATAAAACAGAATCAATATAAAAAGAGATGAACAATGTTTTGGAAATCTCAAAACTGTCTTATTGTTAGACAAAAAATCGTAAATAAAGAGAAATGTAATTAATTGCATAACGAAAAGAAACAATTTCATTTACAATGTAAAATCATATGAAGCACGATGTTTAATCTGTTACGATATTCAACATCGTCTATATCGGTATCATAAAAGAAAAGGAAAGGTTCATAAATAACTCGAGCAGTTCACCATCGTTATTATGCAATTACGATTGCATCTCTATAGCTTAGGTGGTCTAAGGCTTCAAGATCTCGTGTTCGACCCTACGAGAGATAGTGTCTCTTAAAAGTT